AGCACACACACACACACACACACACACACACACACACACACACACACACACACACACACAGCACACACAAGAACAGAGTGAGGTCAAGGCTCTGAGGAGTGGGATTTGAGAATGTTGATACAGAGGTGAGGCCTGCTTGAATGCAACAAAGGCACATAAGAGTGAATTCATAAAAAGAGTGGAGAAGGAAAAAACATACACAAGAAACAGAATGAGATTGAGCCCCTGAGTGGAGTCTGAGAATGCTAATACAGGGCTAGACCCCCCCGCGTACAACAAAGCGACGTCATGTACAATTTTACAAATTACGAAATCACAAGAAAAAGAGGGAGGTTCAAACTCTGGGAGACAAACCAAGTCAAGGAGAAGTGACAAAGCAACAAGGGCCACCATCAAACATAGAGACCAGAGTCGGCTCATGAATGTGACACATCGAACAGATGCGCAGATCCCACATACGACCCGAGAAAGGCATTGTGGCTATAATGCCCATTGAATGTGGCATCTGCACCTGCAGAAAGGACAGGATTTGGCACGAAGGACACACTCCCGAAACACTCGTCTGTGAGATACAAAGAGCGAACTATCACGGAAATCGCCACCAACGACCGCCAACAAACGCACAAACTGGGCCATCAATACACAATGAAACGGCAAGGTCCAACGAGGAAGATGACATGAAGGAGACAGCATACAATACAGAAGTGGAGGTCGAATGAACTACACTCATAATCCAGACAATAAATGGAGATACGACTTCGGCAACTTGGCAGCAAAAAAGGAAACAAACTTCAACAAAAAAAAAAAGGGAAAAAGGGAGAAAATAATGAAAATTCGAAAAATTACATACCTCTCTGGTTAAATTTTTTGTTTTTTGGTCAACAAGACAGCAGTAAAACCAGACTGCACCAGAGCTGAGGGTTGCAAAAGAGAGAGAGAGAGGTGTTTCATGTCGTAGAATAAAATCTGCGCTGTGCAGATGCAGAGGACGGACACACCTTGTCCCAATAGGTTGAAAAGGAAGGGCGTACGCTCCCAGTCGAGGATCTCCATAATACTCCTCAGATTTCGGATTGCTAGCTGCATGAGCAGAAACAACCAACAGCGTCATTAGGTCGCACCGGCAGCCATGAAGACGAGGGCGGGGTAGTGGAGGGGGGGGCATGATGGATACCTAACTGCATCTGAAAAATTATAGACAGAATTAACTGAGCAAGCAGTCTCAGATTCTCAAGAAAAGAGAGCAGGGATATCCATTTAAAAAAAAAAAAATGGAGCAATACAAAGAAGATTAGCATGACCTCTGCAAATGCGTAAATCAAGAAATGGTCCAAATTATTATAATAGAAAAATGCATAGCTACGCCGGACCGGACACCGGACCGAATCCAGACCCCGGACCCCCGGCCTCCCGGGCCCTTCCGGACTTCCGGAAAACCGGAATATTCCGGAATATCCGGACCGGTCCGGATCCCATGTCCGGATTGCGGTCCGGATCAAAAATATTGTCAAAAAAAAAAAAAAAAAACGCCTGTACTCCTACACTCCTCGTCATGAACTTTGCCTCTTGTCTCGTCCTCCTATAGTTTTCCCCCTACTCGTCCCCCTCCTCCTTGTCGCAGCTGTGGTGTAAGGTGTGTGTGTGTGTATACAGGGCCTAGCTAC